CATACTCCAACGGTACGCCCAGCCAGTAGAAGAGGACAGTCAGGTAGAGCGCCACGCTTTCAACCACGTCCTCTACGGGTCGACCATCTAGGTGTGTGGGGAAACAAAGACAGGAAAATGTTAAGAGCCGGTAAGTCAAACCCGAATACTTAATGATAAATTTTCCAATTTCCACCAGGGCCTAAAGTTACCGACGTGTAGGAATTGACAAGTGGACTGCGCAGATGCGCGGCAGTAAAAAAAGAACAAGCGGACACAAAAAATTGAAGGAATTTAGGTCAGTAGGCGACCGAGGTACAAGGTTTCCGCTGCCAAAGTTCGACATCTGTCTCGGAATATTTCAAACAGTGCAATTTGGGGGATTTCCACGGTCGTGTGCCCTCGAGCAGGGTAACTTACACCACTCTACAAATATTTCCGGTGGAATTTTTTTAGTAAAAAGAAGCCTGAATGGCGCGACAGTTTCTCGACGCCACCATTAGGACATTGGCTCGAGTCCTGTTGGCTGTGACTGTGACACTTCCATTCATATCCGGGTCGTCTCTTGGTTCCTACGGAAACGCGGACCAGGCCGTGTGGCACGCGTAGACAGACCGTTGGGCTCTGTCAGGCACAGTGCCCGCTCCCACCTCCGGTCGTCTTGACATTGTCTCCTCATCGGGACCTTGTAGGCAGGGGGGAGGGGGAGAGCGCGGTGGACGCTGCGCAGGTCTGCAGTCAGTAACTCACGGGCAAGTTACTTTTCTGCGCCCACCACGCTGTGGGGCACACGGTGGACATCGTCGTTCGTGACAGTCAAGCGGAGGCGGCGTTTGCCAACTTGTCCTGATTACAGGACAAAAATGAACGAGGGGTTCGAACCCGCGGGCCTTCAACAAAGAAACGGATGGCGGTCAACGCGGGGGTCCACGTCGAAGCTACCGAGTCCGTGAATTAGGATTTTTTATATACAGTGAGTGGCCGATCTCATGAAATGTTGGCTGAAATTCTGAAATGCGTTCTCGATAACGAAGGATTACTTAGGCGCGGTTGTAATACTGATTGTCATGCGACATGATCCTATAATATTTCGGACTTGGCAGGATGTCAGCTTTTGAATACACTGCTTTTCGATCTCCTGTAGAAGCCGTACTTGGTGAAAAGTGACTACTTGAGTAGCATGCATTTTCCCACTGTTTTTTGATGGTCTTGCAAATTCAAATATATTTTATAGAAACCACAGACAAAAATATGATTTCTGTCAGTTGTTTGATAGAGAAACACGTCATCTTTATATTTTATACCCGAAGAAGGAGTATAATTGGGTTTTCAAAAAGTTTCCTAATTCCCGAATAATTTGGAGCCTGATCAGTCGTTGCACTAGCGCTTAGTGAATTCAGTCTACAAGGTGCATGCGTTCCGAGTAAAGAAAATCACATATTCTTCTACGTCTTTAAAAAGATATCATACAGAGTCCATAAAATTTCGCAATGGATACGGACTGTTTTGTACATTTCATGAGGAGCATTGGTAAAAATACAGGTACGATGTTACATGAGTGGACATTTTACGGTCTTAAAAAAGCTCACAATTAGAAGCTTGTTTAAAACCTAATTATACTCCTTCTTCGGGTATAAAATATAAAGATGACGTAATTCTCTATCAAACAACTGACGGAAATCTTATTTTTGTCTGTGGTTTCTATAAAATATATTTGAATTTGCAAGACCATCAAAAAACAGTGGGAAAATGCATGCTACGTAAGTAGTCACTTTTCACCAAGTAAGGTTTCTACAGGAGATTGAAAAGCAGTGTATTCAAAAGCTGACATCCTGCCAAGTCCGAAATATTATAGGATTATGCCGCATGACAATCAGTATTACAACCGCGCCTAAGTAATCCTTCGTTATCGAGAACGTATTTCAGAATTTCAGCCAACATTTCATGAGATCAGCCACTCACTGTAATTTAGAACGCTGCTAAATTAAAGTGCCTTAAGACTGAGATCAGAGATCGAGGGAAGGAGGGGTTTTGGGGTCCGACATTCGAAAGACCCTGTGACAGGCACCGATGCGTGAACATGGAGGTGACCGAAACGAACTTTACCAGTCGCGATGGAATATGAAATAGGTTAATGAGAAGGGGCTTACCGTTCTGTCTCTTTTGCACCGTTGAAATGTATAATTTCCTCGTGTACTTGTAGAACTTATACGCTTTCTCGTTCTTGCTGTCAGTGTCGAAGTCTGTGTCCCCACTAAGTGGGTTTGAGGATGGGGGTTGAAGGCCAAAGAGCGGGAAAAAGGCCGCTCGGAGGTGGTCTTTGAAGTAATTTGCACTTTTGTCCTTCAAACGAGTGCGAATGTCCATGGGGAAGAAGAGGAGTTGTGTGCGTTCGGAGAGCGCCTTCCAGGAGAGCTCGCTCAGGGAGGAAGTTTTATTTAAGAGGGTGAATAGGTGGAGGTTGTTCACTCGCTTTTCATTCCGGACTCCACCGAAGGAGTAAAAGCAGTATTGCTGAGAAAACATAAAAAGACTGTTACTTAGGCCACACTGAGTAGCAATATTTAATAATTCAAAAAAGCACTCGTAAGTCCACTAACAACGGAGTACACGGACAAGTGTCCGGACGCCCAAAAATCTCCCATAAACCAGCAATGTGAAAGACTCCAACGGCCGTCCAAGGCCCAACTGGCCTAGTTCGGTGTCGGTTAGGCGGGTGAACGGTGACGCGATGAGGGCAGCAACTTAACGCTTTATGAAGGTGATACGGAATACTATTTCGAAATAAACTGTC